AAAAAACTAAGTCGAAGCTCAAACATTGTTTTATTAATTATCCCAAAAAACATGTGCACAAAAACTAAGTTGGAACCTGAGATAGCTTCTTCGGCAACTTTAGCATGTTGTTTCACCAAGTTATCTTTATCAGTCATTTCCATGCGTGCTTCTGACAACTTTTCGTTCATCTTCTTTACTTCATCCTCCAAGGTTTTTACCATGTTATCTTTATCAATCATTTCCGAGTGGGCTTCTGACAACTTTTCATTCATCTTCTTCATTTCGTCCTCCATGGTCTGCACTTGTTCTTCGTAGGACTTCACTTGATCGTCCAAGCCCGTTAGGTACATGTATGATTCAATTGAGATTTTAACATGCTTTGGCTTTTTATTATTGACATCATGTTTTCCCTGCAAAAGGATAGGTATAGGAAAGATTAAAAGATCTCAAGACACGGCACAAGTTAAAACAACCTTTCTGTTCATACTATAATTTATTAAGAAATGGGAAACCCAAATCAGATTAGAATCTTTTTCAGTTTCTCTCTACTCTCCAGTTATGTTGAGCTATAAAACGAGCAAAATTATAAATGAACAACAGTGCCTACAGACAATCCCTCATCACTTCGGGATGCAAGCATTGGAATACCAAGAAATTATGTTTTTGTTAGGTGATTTTTAGCAAATTGGCCAACATTTAAATACAAGAATAACAAAAAACAGGACAAACCTTGTCGGCTTGATTTCCACCTACGACTGGAGTAGTAGCTGGAGAACTTGATGCCGAAAAAATAGTTCTCTCTATTGCTAGCTTATCGGATGATTTTCTCTTCCACGGCCAGCCACGTTTATCCATAGCTATTTGCTGCAATAACACAATTTACTAAAAGACAGTCTGCCAGATGATGAAACTCACTGTGAATGTCAACCTGCAGAAGGATGCAAGATTAAACGTCTCATTTATATTTTAATCGAGCTTAATCTCTGCAAAAACAACAGTATCAATACCAGAAAATTCTTTAGAATCCTACATTTTTTATTTTTTATCATGATAAAATTGGAACCTCAAGAAAATCACAACAAGCCAAATACGAAGGCCATAACAGTGGTTTAATTCATATATAAAAACACAAAATAGAATACTTCAGTCAAGTCTTCAATGCAGATTTTGAATCACAGTCATGACAAAATGGATGATGGTGATCGGAAAAGGACAGGTCACCAGAAACAACCAAAATATACTTTTGAATATGACTTTCCATAATGGTCCGAGAAGATAAGGAAAAGGAAATGTGAACCCA